TTGAGTGGGCAAAGGTCAGACTAGTTACCAGGAAAGATTCAGGGATCCTAAAATCTCTGGGCAAAACTGCCAAGAACCCAACTTGATCTTTAAAATATCTATGTAACTAAGGGAAAAGAAAGCTTCTACCTAGTAAAATGTCCCTTTTAATGATGGAAAAATAATAATTTTAGAATGCTACTTTTACTGATTTCTGTGTTTATAGAGAGATTGAAACAGTCACAAAATGTTCAGCCATTAATTTGAATCTATTACACAGTTTAGTCTAAATTTTTAGTTCTATAACTTTGGAAGTTTTGATTTCTCGATTTGGCAAAAAATAAAGTCAGCTTCCCCTTTTATTCAGACTTTAAAATCAATTGTCATTTAAAACCACCTGACACACAGGTCTCCAACAGTTGCAGCAGCAATAGGATATTTGTCTCATTGAAAGAAACAAGTTATACCAAATATATTTCTTTTGGGTTTGGCACCAATACCAAAGCCAACACATTTTGTCCTTGAATTTCAACCTACTTCAAACATTTGATTATCTTGCCTGCTTTATTTTCTCCAAAATTCTTCTATCTTGATTGCCTCATCATCTCGTCATCTCTTCACCTTTTCTGCCTTACTCACTTTCTACTCACTGCCAACTCTTCTTTTTTTAAAATAACTTGTTCACAAGAGAAAAAATCTGGCAACCATTCAGTTTTATGATTATTTAAAATTCTCCCTCACCTTCTATGATTTTTTTAATTCTCATTTTTCCCCATTACAAATTGAATTCCATTTAAGTAATACTAATCAAATCTGCTGCTGAGAGAATTGCCAGGTGTACATGTTAGCATCCATTAGGATTTTTCACTTAATTATTCTTTTAAAACTATGGCTAATGGAATTAAGATAACAGAGGGATTTCAGACATTATTCACATATAACTGATAATAGAATAAAAAGATTAGGGATTATTAGAAAAAGTATCAAGGCCTATTCATAGCTGTCAAATTTATACTGTGCACATTGGACTTTTGTCATATTTTGTTGTGATATGTCCTTAATTTAATATGCAGTTCCCCATTTTACTAACGACATGAGATATTATCTGAACTACACAATCCAGTGTCAAGTGCCCAGGAAATAATTATCTGGGATCAATTAGATTTCAAGAGTAATCTAGGAATCCAATCATTTATTCATCCACTGAACACTTACGGAATGACTACTAGATACTACCTAGAAAAAGATGATACATAAAAACTAAAAGTGGATGAAGGGAGATGT